CTTCACAATCAAGTTCCAGCCTATTGTTCCTGACTGATTTCCCATTATTCCCAGACAAACTGGTCTACTTACCGTTCCCCAAACATGCACTTTCATCTCCTGTTTCAGAGCCTTTGCACAGGCTTCCCCCCTTCTCCCCTTCACCTCTTGGATTTCTGAGCTCCTTTCTAGTGCCATGTCTCAGAATGAGGCTTTTCTTGAATCCTTGGTTGTTAGTTCCCTTTACCCCAAAAGTATTGTATGTTTTGTATACATTTGGTATTTACTTCTCTGTATTCTTACTATTTCCCACAAGGACCATGTAAGCTACTTGAAGAGAGGGACTGTTTCATTTAAGTGTTTTTATCCCCAACACTTGGCACTAGTAGGTTTTTAATACCTGCTGAATTGAATTCATTGTTAAAAAACAACAACAAAAAAAACTAGGATAAAATAAAATTTCAAAATAATATTAATAAAATATGAAACTTAATAAAGAGAACAAAAAGGAAATGTTTAAAAGAGAACAAAAGCTAGTGGATAGAAAAAGTCAAGACCAGAAATAATTAATGCCTTACAAGACCTTGAAAAAAATTTTAGATCAGTAAAACTTTTTTGTTTTACTTCTTTTTGATTCGTGTGACTCCTTTTCATATGGCTTCATATAGAATTTAAAGAGCTACCATATAATCATATTGTTCACTGCAAACGATCCATTTACAGATTATCTCTTCTTTCTCCTATTTCCATGGCAAGAAAAAAGCACAAAGGGGAATTTCATTTCTGTCAAATATTATGATACCTTACTAGCTGAAGAAAGGTTTGATGGTGACTATCCACTAAAATGAAGGTTTCAAATTATATACAACACTATTATCTATACCATTCCTATCTACTATTACCATGGATAATTACACAGATTTAACATACATTCCCAACTAATTGTGAATAGACAAAGGGAGTGGTAGAGATATCTGATTTGTTTCCTGTCATCAAAACTGTCAGGAGTAGAATACTATGAAATCTAGCTACAGAAGGAAGGTGCTTCATATTACATTTCCTGCTAGCTAACAAAACTAAACTAAACTAAACTAAATGTCCCCTATTGACTGATATTTTGATCTGCTACCAAAAATAAGTGTTTCATAGAATTTCTTCGGATTTTCCTTTTGGTGGGTGCAGCAAAGAAGAGAGTAGCTGTGGTAACATGGACAGCATGGACTCAGTATGGGACATTCACTTAACCTTTCTGAGCTTCACTTTATATTTAAAATAGTACTTTACTGTATTATTATGAGGAAAGTGTTCTGTGACACTTAATAATACAAGTTGCTATCACCTCACTAAATTTTTTAAGAGCACAAATGCTCCACCCGGAAGCATATTTAACTACTTCCCTCTTAGTGACACTCAATAAGATATCAGGTGAGTACAGTAACAGGTGCTAAGAAGTATCAAAGTTCTTGTCCACACTATCTTATTTTTTTTTTCCCTAAAGAAAGGGCCAGTGACAAGATCCAGAAGAAGTATACTAAGAAAAATTTTAGGGGAAAGAAAACTTTCAGTTGTAAGCAAATTTATAGGTGTCTCTGAGGGAAGCTAAATAAAAACAACACACTGCAAATAGGAAAAATATTTATAACGCCATTTATTTTGAAAATGTTTACTGATTCCTTTTACTTGCCTTTTTAAGGACTCCTCCTTTCTAAAGAATGTACCTTATTATTCAGAAGTGGAAGTCAGTATTTATGAGAAAGAAGAGAAGAATGAATCTCACTCCAATCATGGATATAGATAATATGCCTGGATTCATTCCTCAATAGTGAACATATTCCTACCTCCTCATGCTCTCCTCATTCCAGTGATTCTGATCTATGGCTGTTGAATTCCCAATTTCATCCTCAACTACTCATTCCTTTACTCCTATCCCCCTCAATTCTAACTCCACCACCCCACAAAGTCCCACATTAGATTTGCCCATCCCGTCTACTGTGCTCTCTGGAAAACCTGTTTTATAATTAATAAACTTGTTCTAATTTTAAACAGGTAGTTCTCAGATGAAGAAATTAAAGCCATCTAGAGTCATATGAAAAAAAAAGCTCTAAATCACTATTGATTAGAGAAATGTAAATCAAAACAACTCTGAGGTACCACATCACACTTATCAGATTGGCCAAGATGACAAAACAAGGAAATGATAAATGCTGGAGAAGATGTGGGAAAATTAGAACACTGATGCATTGTTGGTGGAGTTATGAAATGATCCAACCATTTTGGGGAGCAATTTGGAACTATGCCCAGAGGGCTATAAAAATGTGCATAGTCTTTGACCCAGAAATAGCACTTCTAGGGCTATATCCCAAAGAGATCATACAAATGGGAAAAGGACCCACATGTACAAAAATATTCATAGCAGCTCTTTTTGTGGTGGCAGAGAACTGGAAACTGAGAGGATGCCCATCATTTGGGGAATGGCTGAGTAAACTATCGTGCTATAAGAAATGATGAGCAGGTGGACTTCAGAAAAACTTGGAAAGGCTTATATGGACTGAAGCTGAGTGAAGTGAGCAGAACCAGGAGAATGTTGTACACTGTAACAGCCACATTGTTTGATGATGACTAATGTTGACAGACTTAGCCCTTCTCAGCAATGCAAGGATCTAAGACATCTCCAAAGGTCTCATAATGGAAAATGCTATCCACATCTAAAGAAAGAACTATGGAATTTGAATGTAGATTGAAGCATACTATTTGCTATTTTTTTTCTCTTCTGTTGAGTTTTGTTTCCTCTTTCTGGTGGTTCCTCCTATTGGTTCTAATTCTTACAACATCACTAATGTAAAAATGTGTAATAGGAATGTATATGTATAGCCTATGTCAGATTGTGCGCCATCTTGGGGAGGGTGGTGGGGAGGAAGTGGGAGAAAAATTCAAAAGCATATGGAAGTGATTGCTGATAAATCAAAATAAATTAATAAAAAAAAGGAAAAAAAAGAAAAAAATCTATTTTATCTAAATAGTCCCTAAGCTTTTGTGAGGCAAGTACCAAATAAATCTAAAGGCTACATAAAAAGTAAACAAATTTGAAAATTTGCAATTTAATTTTAAAATACCCAAAGGAAAAAAAATACACAAAATTTAATCAAAGAAATACATATATTTGTCAGAAGCCTACAAAAATGCTATCAAGTCACTAGTTGCTCAAAGTAACGTACACTCTGTCCTTTACTATTTTGTACTAATTATGATGAGCTCTGCAACATATGTGAAAGAACACTGGATTTAGAGTCAGAAAATATTAAGTACCAGCTCTGCCATTTACTGTGTGACTCTATGTCACTCTGCTTCTCTGGATTTCCTCCAATGATAAGGGAGTTGGACTAGATTACCTATAAGCTTCTCTATCTCTATTTCTAAGTCCTGACTTAAAGGGATAAACTTGAAGAAGTTGTTGAGTCTTACAGTCCTATTTAACCTACTGACTTACATTTAATAATTTTCATGGGAGTATAATTTAAAAGTTTTACATTTTGTTTTAAAAACTTTCCTTTTCTTTGGTTTTTCCGTCATCTTCATTTACAAATACACAGAAATCCCAAAAATCTTAGTGGTTATAATAATAATGACTATAATTAGCATTTATATAGCGCTTTAAGATGAGGAAACATCATCTTATCTTATCCTCACAACAATTCTGGGAAGTAGACGCTATTACCCCTATTTTCCAGATAAGGAAACTGAGGCAGACTGAGGTAAAGTGATTTGTCCGGGGTTAAGTGTCTGAGATCAGTGCAGGAGCTGAAAATTCCTCTTCCTGACCTTAGGCCTTAGCTGCCTCAACCTAGTTTAAAACTGCACTAAGACTTTTGGGGCAACCTGTACATTGCCATCCTCCCTTATCCTGTCATCAGGTCTGATTTTTTTTTCAGTACAAAACCAAAAACATGGATTTGGAAAATGTATGGATAATATTTATATAATAAGCATTATTAGGCTAGACTATTTCAGAACTTAATAAAGCCGCAGCCTCTTTTTGTGCAAAGATTTTGGTACTCCATCCACAGGGAAAAACTGTAACTTCACTGACAGAACCCACGGTATCATTTTCACAGATTAAGGGAATTCCGGGAAGGGGGGGTGTATTTCAAGTACTTTCAATTCTGAACGAATGACTCCTTGCATTTCTGTGTTATTTTCAGAAACCGCCAGCCTACAAAAGGATTCTTACTACTCTCTCCACCCCTGCTCCTCAATGAGACAGAGACCCCAGACCCCCGATGTAGGTGGGTGGGTGTGGAGTAGGAGTGAGGAAAGAAATTATAGTGAAATACAGAATTTCTGGGGTCCTCGGCAGGTTAGAAAGTTCAGAAGGGTTTATCCGAGGCGTACGGTACCGTCCAAAAATTTACCTTTTTCCTAATCCCTTTCTAGTCTGTCACAAGAGCTCTACGACCCAACCAACCGTAAATCAACAAAGCACTAAATAAGACCCTGCCTTGCGTTATCCTTCCCCAGTAACCCTCGCCCCTTAGGCCCCGCCCCTCGCCTCACGCCCCGCCCCCAGGGCGGCTCCTCTCACGCTGGGGTCTTCAGCCTTACCTGCGCAAAGACTGTCAGGCAATCGCCAGCTGGGAGGTCTAGGCGTCCCTTGTACCAGAACGCTCCTACACTTGCCCCCGCTCCCCCCGCTACAGCCACGGCCAGAGGGCCTGGCCGGCGAAGCGCCCGCCGGCCCTCGGCCAGCCCACGACGCAGACGACTGCCCCAAGTCGCGATTAAAGCCACTCTCCGCGCACTTGCCGCCATGTTCGCGGAAGCGTCAGCGCGAGGACTTTGACTGCCTGGAGATACCTCCGCTGCTGCCGCCTCTTTCCGTCGCCGCTGGTCTCGCGAGAGCAGCGACGGCCAGACCTTTGCCTCACTTGTTTCAGCAGCCCGGCTCCACTGATCCCGGGCTGCGGGCCGGGGGAAGGAGGGAGTGGTGACCTCTTCCTTTTCCTTCCCGCGGGAAGCGCAGGCACTCGTCCAGGCGCAGTCCCCGCGATCGTCCGTGGGAAAGGGGGTCGGGAAACAGACCCCAGCAGGAAGGGAAGCAGGTATCAACATCTCCTGAAGCGACGGGGTGCTAGGCACTGGAAGAACAGTCCAGAAAGTGCCCTTATCTTCAGTTAATAGTTATTGAGGGCCAACAGTTTTTTTTTCTTGGGGGGGTGGGGAGTGTCTGAACCTATAATGGCATATTAGCGGGAACCTCCCAGTGCGGAAACTCCCTCCACTCTCCCCATTAGCTTGTGAGCCATCTCCTTCCGAGCAGGGACTTTTTTACTTTCTTTATATCCTCAGCTCTTAGCCCAGTGCTTGACACATAGTAGACACTTAATAAATATTTCTTGACTTGATTTTGAGAAGCTCTGCAGGAAAAAAAAAGAAAAAGAAAACATTCCATTTACAGAATCATGCATTTTCACTGACTATCCCACATGTCAGGAATTTTTACCCTCCTCATCAACACCTTTTGACTTTCTTGGTTTCCTCAAATCTCAAAGTCCCAGTTCTTAAATTTAGAACCTTCCCTCTAAGACACTCTCCCTCCTCCCCAGTTTATCCTGTATGTATCTTGTTTCTACATAGCTGTTTGCATGTTGGCTCCCCCATTAGACTCTGCGCTTGAGAGAAGGGTCTTTTTTTTTTGTCTTTGTACCCACATATCACAGGGCCTGGCACGTAGTAGGGACTTAATAGCTACAGAAAATTTACAATCCTAAACTTAGTTCTCTCTGCCAAGGAGCACATTCAATCGCTTCTTCATTTGACTTGACTACACAGCTGCATACAGAAGCACTTAGTAAACCGTAAAACTTTTATAAATGTTAGTTAATATTGGGGCATAGGGGGTGGGGAGACTGAGATGAAGTGACTGGTGTGGTTCAGAGTTTATTTAGCCTGGGTACCTATTGTTGGCCTCCAGTAGGAGATAAACTTGAGGAGAAAGAATGTTTTTTGGTTATCCTTGTGTGGTCAAGAGGCAGCAGTGGCAAAATGGGATAGAGAACTGTCCCTGAAGATTCAAATATCCCTGAGTTCAAGTCCCTCTTAATTGCATTAGCTGTTAACTCTGGGCAAATCACATAGGCTCTCAGTGTTCTAGGTAACTCTCTAAGACTGTAAGGCACAAAGAAAGGGCCAGCTTGCATGGGTGAGGCAATTTCCTCATCGTATACCAATGAAATCACAGGTTTAGTCCCTATCTCCTGATTTGGTCATACAGCTAGTATTAGGTGTCAAGAAGAATTTGAGCTCAGATCCTCTGATTCCATTAACAAACATAATCTGTTTGTACCTTTCATTGTTGTGAAAATAAAAATAGGCCATGTTCCTAAATCTCTCCATCAGGTACTACTTTGGGCTGGGTTCTGATCATAAAGGATTTTAAGCAATCTCCTAGTTTTTAGTTAAATAATTCCCTACACTTCTGGTGTTAATCCCTTTCTAGCCTCCAACAAGGTCTGTGTCAACCAGTCAAAAGCATTTATTAAAAGCATTGTATGAGTCAGCACTAAGAATGCAAATGAAACAGTCCCTGACTTTTTAAAAAAAGAATATTTTATTTCCCCCATAATTACATGTAAAAACAATTTTTAACATTCGTTTTTATTTTAAAAATTTTGAGTTCCAAATTCTATCCCTCTCTTATTCCCCTCCCTGAGATTGTAAGCAATCTGATATAGGTTATACATGTGCAATCAAGTGAAACATTTCCATATTAATCATTTTGTGCAAAAAGACTTTAATACACACAAAAAGAAAGTGCAAAATAGTATACTTCAGTCTATATTCAGGTAACATAAGTTCTTTCTCTAGAGGCAGATAGCATTTTTCATCATGAGTTCTTTGGGGTTGTCTTGGATCACTGTATTGCTGAGAATAGCCAAGTCATTCACAGTTCATCATACAATATTGCTGTTACTGTGTACAATGTTCTTCTGGTTCTGCTCACTTCACTTTGTATCAGTTCATGCATAGCTTTCCAAGTTTTTCTGAAATCATTCTGCTTGTCATTTGTTATAGCACAATAATATTCCATTACAATTCTATACCATGGCTTGTTCAGCCATTCTTTGACTGATGGGCATCCCCTCAACATCCAATTCTTGACTACCACAAAAAGAGCTGCTATAAATATCTTTTGTACAAATAGATCCTTCCCCCTTCCCCCTTTTAAAAAAATCTCTTTGGGATATAGCCCTAGCAATAGTATTACTGGATCCAACAGTTTTCCCACATCCTCTTCAACATTTATCATTTTCTTTTTTTTTTGTCATAATAGCCAATCTGATAGGTGTGAATTGGTACCTCAGAGTTGTTTTAATTTGTATTTCTCTAATCAATAGTGATTTAGAGTCTTTTTTTCCCACATGATTATAGATAGCTTTGATTTCTTTGTCTGAAAACTGCCAGTTAATATCCTTTGACTATTTATCAATTGGGGAATGACTTGTATTCTTATCAATTTGACTCATTTCTCTATGTCTTTTAGAAATGAGGCCTTTATCAGAGATATATGCTGTAAACCTCCCCCCCCAATTTTCTGTTTTCCTTCTAATTTTTATTGCATTGGTTTTATTTGTACAAAAACTTTTTTAATTTTATATGATCAAAATAATCAATTTTACATTTTGTAATGCTCTCTATATCTTGTTTGGTCCTAATTTCTTCCCTTATATGATATGGATCTGATGATAAACTATTCCATGTTCTCCTAATTTGCTTATGGTATCACTCTTCATGTGTAAATCATATACTTGTTTTGACCTTATTTTGGTATGCCTTTAAGGAACTTTATGTACTATAGGGAAAGACAACATATACAGAAATATATTTATATTTTCATGCGTGTACTTATATACTATTATGTAGGTATTGATAATTTAAATGTTCCTTTTGAGAATTTTGTGACACCCACTAAGAAAAGAAGAAAAAGCATAGATTTAAAGTGAGAGAACCTGTGTTCAAACTCTTCCTCCATCATATTAGACTGGGCCTCTCTGGCCTCATATTCCTTAGCTGTAAAATGAGGGTAGCTGACTACATGGTTTCTAAGGTCCTTTTCAGCCCTAAACTTATGATTCTGTGATAATGGGAGACTCTCTTTTGGTGCTTAGTACAGTGTGGGGCATATAATAGGCTCTTAATAAATATATATGAAATTAAATTGAATCCCTACAAACCCAAGATTAGAACTAATTGTTCTTGATTATTCATAACCTAGAGTAAGGTTCCTAATGCTTTGCTTTAATAACATCATTCCCTTGTTTAGAAATCTACATTGGCTCCTAGTTTACCACATCAAATCTAGATTACTTCTTAACTGAACTATTGTAACAATAGATCCCAGCCCAAGCCTCCTTTGGTCACTGTTTAGTCCCTGATGTCTCAGAGTGAATGTAAATGGCAATTGTTTCTGTTTTGGCAACTAGGGAAAAGAGACCATTCTTTGCCTCATTTCTTATTAGCCTTAATCACTGAATGGTCATTTACTCAATCAAACTGAGACCTGAGAAAGACCTTAACTTAAAAAGACCAAGGTCTCCCACTGCATCTGGGGCTATCTCCAGTCATCCTGAGCTATATCTCACCACTAGATCCAGATGGCTCCAGAGAAGAGAGTGAGGCTGGTAACTTTGCACAGCACGGCCTCACTTAAATCCAATTCACTTGCAAGTCATGGCATCACCTTCCTGACATCAGGGTCCTCTTCGAGAACAAAAGACAAACAACAATTGCAATAGCCTCCAGGCTTTTCCTCTCCAGTTTTCCACACAGCTGCAAACTTGATCTTCCAAAAGCAGAGGTCTGAGCATGTCATTCCCTTGCTCAAGAAGCTTCAGTGGTTCCATATTTCTTCTCAAGCAACACACAAATTCTTTTTTTGGCATCAAAAACTCTTTGCAGTCTGGCTCCAGCCTATCTTTCTAGGCTGAGTGCACATTACTCCCTATCAGGTGCACTAGTTCCAAGTATTGTTCTTTCCCATACTTGACATTCCATCTCCACCTCCAGGCTGTACCTTGCGTATGGAATGCTCTCCTCCTCTGCTTCTTGGAACTACTACTTCCCTTTAAGGCTCAGTCCAAGTGCTACCTATAGGAGGGCTTTCATGATTCACCTAGTTGTAAGTGCTCCCCTTAAAAAATGATTTCTATTTATTTTGTGTGTATTTTAAATTTACTTATCTGTATACATGTTGTTTCACTCCAGTAGAAATTAAACTTGAGGATAGGAATTGTTTTGTTTTTATCTTATATTCTTCATGCCTAGCACAGTGTTTGGCATTCATCACCTCCGGTTCTGTTCTCTGGGGCCAAGCTGAACAAGTCTAATCCTGGTTTTATTTGATAGCCTTTGGAATACTTGAAGATAGGTATCATGTCATCTATCTCTTACCCTACTCTGAATACTTTTCATCTTGTAAATGCCCTTCCTAAAATATGCTGTCCAGAGCTGAATATGATATTCCAGATGGGATTTGAGAAAGACAAAATGGAGTTTTGAACATATGGGCAAATCTTTCAGTTTAACAGGCTACAGGTACTCTTGGAAGTCAAAGAAATAATTATCCAGGAATTATTCAATACAAGTGACTTTGCTTTTAATAATAATAATATTAATAATGATAATTAATAATAGTAAATGATAGCAGACATTTACGTAGCACTTTAAGATTTGCAAAATACTTTATATTTGTTGCCTTATTTGATTTGATCCTTACAATAACCCTTGAGATAGATGCTATTACCCCCATTCTACACAGCTACTCAAGTACACATAGAAGAATTCTTAGTTTTTTGGTCGACTCGTAAATGCACTAAGGGGAGGAGGTAATCAAGTCAGGTGTACAATCATTTCTAGTTAACTGGAACAATAATTTTATACAAGTCTTTCTGAAACACCTGGAAAAGACATGGAACCTTGAGCTATTGATATGTCATCATATTTAAGCCAACATTTCCTTGGAACCTCCCCCCCAATTCCTTACGTGGCAGAAAGAAAAATCACCTCTTTCCAACACAACCATCTTTCAAGATCCAACTCAAGT